CAAGAAAAAAGGGGTTCAAATCTGGATTTAGGCTTAGTTCTCCAGGGCTTATGATTATTATTAAATCAGGATAGGTCAGTTTCTTAGTCTTCGGTGGCAGCAGGTCACTTTTGTTCAACCAGGTCAGGTTGATTTGCATTTACCTTCTATGGCTTGCTCATTTAGATATTGTCTTTGTTTTTAACAATTGGAAATATAAAAAGTACTGCTTGTTTTTATAAATATCTCTTTTTAGATATATCTTAGTTAACTTATCAGTTTTCCCCTTTACTTTCTGCTCCATATGTAAAACCTCTCAAGGTATCGCACAAGCGAAATCAAACTACTGTTATCCATCCCAATTAATCAGGACTTAATCTTGTCCTGCTGCTGTATAGCATATCCATCCATATGGGTCAACCTGATCTGGACCTTCTGGTTCATCTTGTCCAGCAGGTCAGAAGAGCCTTTACCAGAGAAGGACTTCAGTTGACAGGTCGGTTTTGGGACTCAGATTAAATGCCGTTCGCATTTGTATTGTTTCAACGGACTACTGGGACAACAATGAAGGCGATTAAAGGCGTTTTATCCTGCTAACCGCAGCGTGGTCCTTGGCGGTCCATGTCCATCCTTTTGGCATGCGGTTAATCCTTTGGCTATGTCGCACGCGAGGCAAGGCGAGGGCGGAAAAAGACGGAAAAGAAGGACGCGGAATTACGGAGGACCAAGGCGGGCAGTGGTCGATGGAGGAGGAGGAAAATGCAGAACCATCTACCGCACAGGTACTCAAGGCATTACCCAAAACTTGTGCAGCTTACGCGAAAGTCCTTTGCCTGAATCGTGGTGGTGCACTGGAAAAAAATAGATAAGTATTAGGATTTTCTTGAATTTTATTAAGGGGAAATAATAGCCAATGATTTCAATTATATTTTTCATTGAATTTGAATAAATATATATTTTTTATTATATATTACAGATAAAGCCTATCTGTAGTTCCTGAATATGTTTTACAAAGTTACTTATTTTCTATATTTTTTCTAGAATATTCCCATTCTGTATGTCTTTTTGCCTATAATTTCTCTATGTGCATTCAGAGTCCTTGTTGCTGCCGTTTTGGTCCTTGGCACTTGGTCCTGCGTCGTGTGCGCGGCCACTTTGCGGTTGCAAGCGCTTAACCGCATCATAAAACCATCAGCGAGCATAAAGGCAAGCCATTATAATCATCGGGCCACGCACAGCGAATAAACCTTGGGAATTAAGACCTGGATCGAGACTTGCGATCCCTCGAGATCTCGAGTCTCAACTCTCGAGCCTCAAGATCCTCCCCGCTGGGCTGGCTGTACGCCTACCTAGCCGCCTTCTTCCAGATGCATTGATCCTTGCGGCTCGCGGCTCGTCTTAATGAAACTGGCAAAAATGCAATGAAATACGCTGGCAAATCCTAAAGATCTGAATCCGCTGCACTTGCCGAACACACACACACACACATAACAAACTAATCGGGCACCTCTCGCCCTTTTCGAGCTTCTGGTTTTCTGGTTACGTGGGTCCCTCAACTGATCTTGATCCGTTGACATTTATATTGATCCAAAACTGTTGGCAGTTTATAGATTAACATATTATTCGTATTATTACACAAAGCTTAAGTGAATATCCCAGTTTAGTTTCCCTTCTAATCAAAACCCAAACTAATAATAGTAATTTATAGTACACGCCGAATCCAAGCTCTCAGCTTAAGCTAAGACATGTTCTTTGTTCTCCTCAAAACAATGCATTTAAATTAACCATTTTAAAGCGTTAAATTAAATGCCTTAGTACAATGGTATGCTGAAGCGTCATTATCTACAAATATATGAATTAAATATAGAAGCGTTTCCCTTTGGCTAAAAGCCGCCCTCGTCCCGGAAATTAACTCCTTGAACTTTGATGGACTGTTGCCCAGGCAACGGGCTTACTTAATCAGACTGCTTATGCCACGCCCACATACTCCCGCACACCCACTCCCATACACCTACAGTGCCTACCTTATTATACAACTGCCACGCCCTAAATGCCCCGCAGTTTTCGATCCCCGCCGTCAAACGAAAACCCCCCCTTGCTGAAGACAATAAAAGACAACATAGCTGAGGCTAATGAAATTTACTGACTCGCAAGAAAAACGAGGGGATGTCATGAGGGTAACCTCCTTACAATAAAAATCAAGTGGTTTTATATAAAATAATTTTTTAAATATTTTTAAAAATCATATTTTAAATTAAATTTTAAAGATCTTAAAGATATCTTTTCTAAACTTTAAAATTACATTTAAATTCTAATTTAAACCTTCTTAAACACTGTCTAATGGTTAGTATACGTAATCGACTTTTCGTTCAGTGCCTTCTGCATGCCACGCGCCTACGACAGAGGCTAATGAATGTGCTGGGCAATAAAAAATCAGCCAAACGAATTGTCGTTAATCAGCCAGCAAAAAAAAAACTGCACAAAAAATGGTGAAAAAATGGGGAGAAGAAATCTGGAAAAAAGCAAAGGCAAGTTGCCTGCGTTTCTAGTTGGAAACCTGAACACCCACACATAAGACCCCCCCTACAAACCCCTTCCCTTCTCAGGGTTTTTTTTCTCATTTTTTTTTCTTTTTTGGCCACGGAGCAATCAAAACTGTCGCCTATGAAAAATGTTTTGGGGCAAATGGCGGCGAACTTTTCGCGGCTGGCGACTCGCAAAAAAAAATAAGGAGGGAGAAAATAAAAAATGATGGCAAAAGTACACCCACGTGTACATATGTGCGTTCAACTTTGAGTATTTTCATTTTCAAATCGTTTTTTATCGGTTTTTTCGGGGTCTCTTTTTGTCTTTTTGCTGATGCTGAAAAAGTTTGAATTGAAACATACATTTTGGTGATTGCAGTTACACTTTTTTTTATACAGGAATGAATAGTTGAATCGAAACAGTTGTAACTTGAACTCTATAATAAACTATATAAGGATCAGTCAGAAAAATTAATGTATATAAGTTACGTATAAAATATAACTATTCTGTGTACTATGTCGTAGATATTTATTGATTTTTAGTATATTTATTAAACATTAAAAAGGCTAATGGTAATAATAAGTTTATTTAGTTTAGATTTTCATATTTATTAATTTCTTTTCCGAACTATTTCTATAAATAAAGTTTATTAATAGTATTTAGCTTATTTATGAGTTAATATAATGATTTAAAATCAAAAATCAAATCAAATTCGTTTTCTATTTCATAACTTTTCTATATTTGCTATATTAAATTCCTAATTTTCTGCATTCAAACAGAAACTTTTCCATTTCCGTGCTTTTTATGCTCTCCTGAGTTTTACTCCAAAAACATTTTAAAGTTTGCCGCAACATTTTTAATGAAAATGAGTTTTTGTTTTATTTGATATTCCTGAATGCTGTATAAAATTTGCCAGATTTCCCCCAGTTCATAGTGTTGTTGTTGTTGCTGGCGGTCCCAATTTGTGCGCTAAGCTTTTCGCCCCCCCACCCCGAAGGGTAATTGCCTCATGTTTCATCTACACATCAATTAGCCGCAACAATTTAATTTGTCCGCCTGGAAATGAGAAAAGTGCGAAAGCTGGGGGAAAAAAACAGAGCATTTTCAACAAGAAAAATCCATAAAATATTTGTGCAACATTTTCTCGCCCCCCATTGGCGCGCGAGTGCGAACGGGAGGGCCAAACAACTGTCGTCAGCTATTTCAAATTGTCATAAAAATTTGATAAGGTTTTTTTTCTTCTGCTTGCTGGTCCCCCAAAACTCTTCAAGCCCCCATCCACAATTTTTTTTTCTGCGTCAGCTACAAAGCAAAAATATATAAAAAAAAAGTTTGGGGCAAAAAAAAGTTTGGCTCGCTTGACTATATCATTTACAGTTAGGCTGCCAGTGGGAATAGACTTTAAAATGTATATTTAAGATTGGGATTTTTCCGTAAATCATTTATTTTATAAAGATTAACATTTTGATAATTACATAACATATAGCTATATATATAACCCCCCAAAAAGCTAATTTTACTTTAAAATCCTATCAACCCTGAGTTTTGATACTTTTAGCTTGGTCTAGTGTAAATGATAATTGAACAATGGGGCCGCCCCATTGGGGTGAAAGAGAGGGGGCGTGCCAAGTGTGAGTGGCGGCTGGTGATCCCTGTCCCTTTTCCTCTTATTATTTGATTGTGTGTGCATGACAATTTGCGTCGCAGAAGAAGAAGAAGAAGAAGAAGAAGCATCAGCAGTAGCAGCAGCAAAAGTAGCGGTACTGACCAGCGTCCTTTGAACGCCCGTTGCCCACCCCCTTTGCCTTATCTTTCGCTGTTAGCTAACAAATTTTTGCGTTGTTTTCGCTGCCTTGTCGTTTTCATTAAAATTTCATTGCTGCCGCGCAAAAATACGAAGGTACTTTGTTGTTTTTTTTCTTTCTTTCTTTCTTTTTATGACTATATATTTTTTTCTCCACTTTTTTTCTTTCGACGCAACAACAAAGTTGTTGAACTGAATTTTTTTGGGGTGTGGTTCCACACTCAACCGTACACACACACACATACACACAATCAAACACACACACACACATGGGCCAGCAACAACACAGAGGTAAATACAGCTGCTCAGAAAACTGCTACAATAATCGACAGTTATCTCGTTCTGGCCAAGCGTTTGTGTTGCAAGCGAGTAAGAGGGATGCAGCGAGTGAGTGAATGACTGAAGCAGAGAACGACTCTAGCTGTCGCATTCTTACGCATCGATGAGAACTGGGCAGCCATTGCTAAAAGCAAGGCGCTCGCGCTTGCTTTCCCTTTCTCGCTCTCACCACCACCACAGCTTGTTTGTTTGTTGTTTTTTTTTTTGCTCTGCCGTACTCTTTTTTTTTTTTGGTTCGTTGGTTGTTGTTGTTTTTGCAGACTCTGGTCGAACGACTTTTGCTCTGCCCGCCCGCTGCCCGCTCTGCGCTGCTCGCTGCGCTGCTACCGCCGCTGCCGTCGTTCGTGGAAGGTGTACCGCAATTCATTTCCAGAGTAACTTTCGTGCCGCTCGGATTGTTTTTGTGCGTCGTCCGTCGCTCAGTTGCTAATTCGCCCCGTACGTCGCTCGTTCGATCGCTGTCGCTATTCGCCGCGTTCGCCGATAAGCCAAGCACAAGCCAATAACAACACAAAATTCGCCGTCGCCAAAGCAAATCAAACTTAACTCAAATCAAACAAACAACAAGATCAAATCGAATAACTATAGCCTAGAGCTATAGAAAAACAACAAATCGGAGAGAAATACTAAGTAATACGATATATATATATACATATATCGGGGATATATCCAAGTGCCAGTGACGAGAATCTGTTTTTTTACCGTGTTGCCAGTGCCAAACAATATATAAACATCGCATTCAAAGAAACAAAACAAACATCTCTGGAATACAATATATATATATATATAATTATATATAGAAATCTATATATACCCATGCTATAACCATATAGTAGCTGGATCTGAAAACAAGTCACCATTGGAATAACAGCACCGTTTTGCTTCTAGTTTTGTTTGTGTTTTTTTTTCGGTGAGTGCGATCCGCCGATATCGAGAAATCGGTAGACACATACATATCTATATAACCAGGAGGAGTCTTGGAATGATGTGGATCGGAGAGATAAGAATGGATTAACTGGGGGAAGCGGTAGAACTAAGTAGATATGAATTTGGGCTGGAATAAGGCGGGAATATCTTAGGAAGCAAATGGGTTGTTAACAGTTTAAAAATATCAATAATTTTTTAAGGGATAAATATAATATTTGTATTGCCTTTATGTCCTATAAACTAAATATCACCAATCTGTAAGGTTTTATTACTTAGTTTGTTCTCTTTTCATCAAGTTTCTTCAAGAAATCGAACAATTTGAAAAGAAGGACATATTATTTCTAGTTGATGGTTATGCTTATCCTAATACTTCACCTATAATCAATAGCAAACATTATAAATATATGTTTTCTTTAATGATTTTCCTATTTTAAACAACGCAGTGCTATTTTCCTTAGAATACTCTCAAGTCTTGTTAATTTCCAACTAGCATTGCTTTTGATTTTTGATATCTTCTCTTAAACTTCCATTTAGTTTTGTTAATTTATAACTTTGAAAGCACTTTTATCAAAGTAAGCTTTACTTTCCAAAATAATCTTTTGTTTTTGGGTTTTTCCCATGGAACTTTGATTTTTATTTAAGTTTCTAGCGATTGCATAAAGTTAAAGAGATTCCCGAAAGACGTGTTTAATAAAATAATGATTAGAAATTAAAATTGAAAAGCTAAAAAGTTATTTTGAAGCTTGACAAGTTCTTGCAGAGGTTTTTATTAGCTAATACTAATAAGCAAAAACACTTTAAAATCTCTCTCCTTTATTTGGCCTTAGATTCAATAGGTCTTTAGAATCTTAAATTGGTATAAGAAACCATTGATTATGGGGACTCCCTAGACCAAGAATGGCACTGTCTAAGCCATGTGTTTAACTTTGTTTTAGTTCTTCCAACTCTTTGTCTCGAAAAGCCTTTTTAAAAACCGGGTTTTTGTTCAGGAAATTCCGTCTATGACTAATGTCCGCATCGTAATGTGAGAAAATGCTCGATTCGAGAGATTCGTTATGATTTTCATAATTTTAATGGGCATATTAAGGCCGCCTCCCCTAATTAGGCAAAACAAAAAAAAAGAAGACTGGACAAAAAAACGAAGCGAGAAATGTGGCTACGGAAAAAGGCTACCCAAACAGTGATAGAGGCGAAGCGGCGAAGAAACCCTAAGAAAACCAATATTAGATACAATAGAAGCCAGCCGACGGACCCGTTCAGGTCACATTATTCACACATATCTCTCTTTCTATATATATACATATATAGTCCCCCACTTCACCGATTTCCGATCGGTTCGTCTAATTTCAAAGCGGCGGCTATAAATTAAAATATCTGAATAATACGTTGACTCCTCGCTGGCTACTTTGTTGTTCTGTTTTTTATTATTAATTTGCATATGGTTTTCTGAACAGTAGAAATATGAAAAAGAAGCTAACAGATATTAATATGCAAGTCGATTCATTTTTCACCCATGCCCCATGATCATCTTTCTCCATTCGAATTGGAGTTGAGAGTGCTAGGTATGAGATTGGGATTGGGATTGGGATTTGTGGATCTCTTGGGGGATCTATTGGGAGTCACCCACGCTTGATTGTTGGCCCAGCCTAGATCCCCCGTCAATATACCAATACCGCAATATCCCAATAACTCAATAAACCAAACTGGCAATGTACCAATGCCAATTCATTCATTCACAATAACATCCGCCCAGAGCATTGTCGATTGTGAATTGAAAGTCGACGAGATCGCGTCGCGACATGTTTGATACCTTATCGCGGATATCCATGTCCCCAAGCAAATGAGTAAATTTCGCTCTAGGCGGCACTGAAAGAAATAAAGTGCGATTATTAATCAATTGAAAGAGTTGAAAAAGTTGATGACTGGCGGAGCTGAGATTGAGATAAATTCGTAAATAAAACTTCAAAACTTTCATAAAATGTTATAAAATCTAGAACTAACTTTTGAGCTTATCAAAATACAAGAAGTTCGAACAATTTAACTAATCTTTTTCAATATTCATTATAAGATTTAATGATATTTTTGCTCACTGTAGAACGGTAACCATTGTTCCGTTTTCCTAGCACGCCCCAATCTTTCGCTTTGACTTTGACTTGGACTCGAAACTCCCACACACACTTGGCACTCACTCGGCTATAGAAATATATATATACATGCTCGTACCTGGGATATCGGGTGTTGCCTGTTTCTTTTTTGTCGTCATCTTTTTTGTCAATCTCTTTTGGCGTCGCCTCGCCTCGCCTTAAGTGAGGTTTCCATTCCGTTTGATTTTATTTCATTTCATCTTTGGCGTTTCTCGGACTCCCTAACTCCCTCACTCACTCACTCACCTTACTTACTTATTGACTGTTTTTTCTTCGTTTTTGCCTTACCAATTATTTGTATTATTAATTTTTATCTCTCTTCACTCTTTGCTCATTACGCGATACTGCTGTTCGCTTCTCAAATTTCGTTGACAAAGCCATTTAAATAGAAATCACTCAGACGGAGGTTTCATTTATTTCGGTTCCATTTCCAGTTTCGACTTATCAAGATCACATTGACAATGCGTCAAATAATAAGTTTTTCTAGCCGCTTGTTGTTGTTGGCGTTGTTGCTGACCCGACTCTGTAGCTCTTAACTCTATTAGTCTATTATTGATTTATATATATATATATTTTGGTCCACTGTCCATGATGCAATCATTTGTACAGGGCAACAACAATAATCAAAACATCAAGCGCAATTCATTCAATACTTTTTGGTTTTTTTTTTTCATGGTTTTTGAATGGAATTGTGAGAAGAGGCAGAGAAAATGATGTAAAGCCAGAAATTTGTTGAATTAAAAGCAATTTTATGGAAATTTATTGGGTTTTGTTGGCCAGAAAACTTGGTTTGTGAATGGAAAATGAAATGATAAGGGTTTCCCGAACAGGTTGAACTCGAAATTTGTGTTTTTTTATTAGTTAAGTGACAGAATATATCATATAATGTATTACTTTACCAAGAATATAAAGTTAGCTCAGCTAATTAAGATTTCAAAAGTCACAATTGATATATTTATTCCCAGAACTATATCAAATAAATCATCTAAAATGTAAATCTCCGCTTTAACAATCTCAAAAGCATACAGTTTCTTTGTTAAACTAGATTTATAGTTTAATCTAATAACCCTGTCAAATTGCTAATTGTTGACTTAATGGAATAGCAATTAGAAACCGCAAAAAGCAATTTGTTTATGCAATAAAACTAAGTAACTATGCTAGATGATCAGCCATTTTAAGTCGAGTGCCCAGCTTAAAAGGGAGCTCTTCTCGTCTCGTATGAAGGATTATGCTTAATCTATAGACTATAGATTAATTTTGATTGAGCAATCTTATGGAGTATCTTTGTAATTACACCAACCGTCTGCTCAAGTGTCAATTCGATTAGGTAAAATAATGAATAATTTGCCTGGCGATAAGCGAAAATACAGAAACTAATTAAAAAAATGTGGGCAAGTGGAAAAGTTGTCGCAGCGGCACAAACAGTTAGTCGTCGTTGTCGTCTGATTTCTAGGCCATATATATATAAAGATATATATATAAAGATAGATAGTTATAGTTGGAGGCTGGGTTTTAATGCCTCTTAAACTTGTCAAATCTTCACACTTTTTCAATTATTTGGCACGTTGCTTAATTAAACTTCAGCCAACGTCAACGTCAAAGTCAAAAGTCAGTAGCTGGATTCCACATCCACATTCATATCTCCACATCATCATCATCATTATAATCGCGATCCTCCAGTGGCAGCAAGGTTGCACTTTTCACCAAAGCCACAGCTGGAATAAATAAATATAATTTTATGCGAAAATTGCAAATTTAAATGTCAAAATGCATTTGCGTAGAAATTGCAACTCGACGACTAGTTTTTCCTACCCGTTTTTTATATCTTTTTCTTCTCATTTTTTCTGCTTTTTTGGGACGTGACTGTTGCTGCTGCTGCTGCTGCTACTAACTTCTCGTTCTTTGTTGCATTTATTAAGTTGCATTATTGCCAAAGAGACAGACAGGCAGACAGGCTTATTATGCTAGACCAGCGTCGTCGTCAAGAAACAGAAACAGAAACTCGGACTTCGGGTTTTCGGACCGTCTAGTTTCAGGTCCATATAATGCTTGTATATATATATATATATATATATATATATAGCATATTCCAGTAGCTGCGGCTCAATGTAAATGAGCCTGAGAAATGCATTTTTCATCTGCCACCTCTTTCGGTTGCTGTATTTCCATCTCTTTCGCTGCCATAACGCGTTATCCATATAGACGAATGTGCAGCTTACACTGGCTAGCAAAGCCAGCAAGCTAGCAGAAGTTGCAAGTAGAAGAAACTTTAAATGTACAGATCTTGGATGTATTACTAGTTTTAGAGGTTTGTTTTAGGGTTTTAGAAAGTCTTAAGGAAAGATTATAAGTTGGTAAATCCCCCTTAGTTAAGTTACCTTGAAGAGATCTTAATTTTTAGATATTATTAAAATAAAATTAGCGACGGCAAATGAGTTTGTTAGAAAAATATGACTAAAAATCATGTACAAGTAAATAGTTTGAGTCATTGCTTGCTAGAAATGATGATTAATAGATCTTTAAAGCGCAGTTTGAATTGCATTTTACACTCCTCTGTTGAACAGTGTGGAAAATGTGCAATATGCCCGGTTATATTAAGTTGTTATGTGGCTGGTTAAGGTGGCTAATAGAAGCGACTACCGACTAGAGACTGACTAAGTAACTAACTAACCTAACTACTGATTTTCTGCGGGAACTAACTGACAGGTTAGCACTCCCGACAGCTGCACACCATCAGACAGTGGCCCCAAAACTAACTAACTGACTGACTAACTTAAATATAGATATGCCATTTAGTTATGTTAGTCAGAGAGTTAAATGCGGACCAAAAAAAAAGTTATGCAAAGTTGGATCATTAATCATCGTATGGCAAATGGAGACGAGAGACGACCACGATCCCCGATGAGCCATTCCCATGGCCCCAAATGAACAGTAGCCAAGTGGCAGTTCGATTTCTTTTTAGACTTTCCCAGGGACCATCAGTCAGCATCATCATCAGCAGCAGCATCAGTGAAACCAAAACACTTGGATGTGCGGGTTTATATAGGGTTCCATATATGCCCCTACTCTACCAATAGATATACACGGTAGCTGTGTGTTTGGCATCTTCAATATCGTTAGCTTGGGGTTTTTCTTGGGCTTGGGCTTTGGCTTTATTTGGTTTTCCTCCCGGCTGTTTATCTTATAAATATTATTTTGACCGTAATTACGAGCGGACAAATGAATTGAAATCTTTTTCTTGTTTTTAGTCTTTTTATGGCGGAAATTTGAAATCGAGAGTGAAAATCATAGGAGCTGAGTATGTTTTTTTTCGAAAAGAATCGAGCAAAATCAAAAAATCAAAAGGGGGGAGGGAACAAAAATTGCCGAATGGAATTTATAATGAAAGTGTCGTTCGGTCGTCGTACGTGATATATGTCCAGCCGAAATGATTTTGTCTCGACTCGTTTCGCTCTCACAATGGGTTATGTCTTCAAAATAAAACAGAAAGAAACCAAAAAAGTCAAAAAGAGCCAGCGGGGCCTTCTTGTTTTCTTATTTTTTGTTGTTGTATTCTTTGGCTCTTTTTTTTTTTTTTTTTTTTTTGCCATTTACCATGATTTTTCATAATCAGCGAGGGCGGAAGGCCAAAAGGGGGGGCTCAAATGTCTAGAAAATCACGTAGAGCTACGCAGATATCGCCATTCCGTTCCCGAAAAATGTGTCACAGTTTGATGTTTTTTTTCTTTCCTTTTTTGACAGATGCTGAGAGTTTGCGGATGGTTTTTTGTTAATCATTTTCAGAAATTTTTGGTTAATGGTAGTTGGTTAAGAGAGTTAGAGCCATGGGAACTTTTATTGGCAAGGAAAATGTAAGAAAAGAAAAGGGTTATGGGAATAGTTTAAAGTAAATAAAGGCTTCTAATATATATTATATAAGCGGTAAAATAGCAAAGCAAGTCATTTTCCCAGCTTGTAATCAAACAAAATCTCTTATTTTCCCAAAGCTTATACCAAATATTAACTTTCCATATCATTTGCTTATTAAAAACATAGTGCCTGGCCATATTTATATTAACCTTAATCAACTTTTGCAACTTAACCCCGTTGAAACTATCAATTACAGCTTTGGCTTTGGCTTTGGCTGATCAGCTTCCGTTTAGTTGGATTCGGGAAGATGAATCCTCCCTCCCAGGATGATAAATAAATCCCAGCCTCGCTACGTTCCTTTTGGGCTCTTGAATTGAAGCCAGATGTGTTATTAATTTGCGTGTGCGCGTGAGCATGTAATTTGGGAATTGGATGGAAGGGCAGGAGGAACGTTCTCTGTCATCGCAGCAGCAGACATCGGGGAATCGGGGAATCGGAGCATCATATTGGGCATCATCGGGTGCTATATATCAGCAGGGTCGAGTTTTTGAGTTTTTGGTTTTCAGTTTTCGGTGCACACGCACACGCTCTCCTTTTCGGGATGTGAATGTTGTTTGCGGCTGCATTTTGAGGCCGAAATGCATTGAGCCATGAAAACGACATGACAAAACAAAACAAATTTTTACCATATATACCACTCATCGATACTCGATGGATGTATCTTTAGCAGGGCAATGTGACAAATAGTTTCTCTCTCTCTCTCTCTCTCTCTCTTCGATATATTGAATTTCAAAACAAAGACAGTTCTTCGTGCTAATTCCGCAATTACAAACCTTTTTTTTTGGACTTTTCTTCGACCGACAAATAGTGCTAATTTTGTTTTCGCACGAAAAACTGCCGAAAGTATTGAAAAAGAATATATATATTCGTATATATAGAGATATGTAACACAAAGGGCATTTAATCCTGGTTAGTTGTCTCTTTCTGGGCTTAATCTTAATGCCCATTGTCCTGGATCAGGCGGTGTCCACCCCGTGTGTATGTGTGTGTGTGTGTGTGTGTGGTTGCTAGTATAAGTGTCTGAAATAATCCTGCGGCTAAGCGCAGATCAAAGATCTTTAAACCGCAAGATAAGCCCGAATACGTCTTCGGATCGGTTCGTTCGGTTAGGATTCGTTTAGGTTCGTTTTAAGGTCTTCGGTTCTCGGTTCTCGGTTCTCGAGATGATCTTCGTCTTGGAGGCGGTTGGGTAATCTTCCCGTGGTGTGCATTTTGCCCAGATTAGAAGATTTTACATCATAGGGGCAAACCTCGGGATTAAAAACCGAACGAAGGAACGATCGTGAGTGGGCAGATAGAGATAGGTAGATAGATATATATATATGTATACAAAGATAGTCCCGAGAGACCTGCCTTATAAGTCGCGGTACTGTTTGGTCTTGGTCTTAGAATGTAATTGGAACTCGTGGCAAGAGCTTAACCCACCAAACAAACAACCAACATTTCCGAGTGAATTTTCACAGATAATTTCAGTTTGTGATTTGTGAGTGATTTGTTGGTATTAATAAGGTTTTTCACACCGCATTTTCATATCTCTTGGGGGCACTTTTGCCGACTAATAACTATTTGCACTGGCAGGGAAAATCCTATCCCATGTAATTTCCTATCTCTGGAGGGAAAATGGTTTTAGCAAGTATTAAAATGATTAAGAAAAAGGTTTTCCCTTCTAAATCATTTTGAGATATAAAGTCAAGAAGATTAGAATTTCAGTTTGTTTAACCAAAAATAGTTAACTACCCCACCCCGCCAGTTAATAACAAAAACTAACCTAAGAACTTAATAAGGAATTGAAACTAACTTTATGATATTTTACAGATCAAAAGATTGAGAGACACTTTGAGCAGGACCTTAGCCCGGCAATCATCGAACGGACTAACATCAAGTTCAAACTGGTGGATCGTTCCAGCCATATAGATACGGATTATAGAAGCCTGAGGCCAGTGGAGACACACAGCTTCAACGTGGCGCTGCACTCGACCGAGGCCTTGATGGCGGCGGGCTTCCTCAAGTCGGGCGATTTGGGCCCCCATCCGCACAGTTATGGCGGGCCACATCCGCATCATTCGGTGCCCCATGGACCGCTGCCGCCGGGCATGCCAATGCCATCACTGGGTCCCTTCGGCCTCCCACATGGTCTGGAGGCCGTCGGGTTCTCCCAAGGTATGTGGGGTAAATATCGCAACGACAATTTTGGTATATACAAAATATATTTGTACTTCACGTAAGCAAACCAGATCGCTTAAATGTGCTGAAAGTTGAGAAGACAAAATGCTTAAGGCATTGGGGTTACACTGAGGGGAAAAACTGGAACTTCATTTGGAGTTTTTTAAGGGTTTTTGAGATCAGGATAGTATGTAGAAGGTAAAGACCTGGCTTAATGAGGTTTAAAAGAGTTAACTTCCTTTGAAATTAGAAAATATATTTCAATTTTCAATCAATTACCATTTTAGTTCCAATCTTTGCTCATATTATTACAGTCTTTATAGGGATTAACTTCTTTAGACTATAGTCTATTTTTCCCACTGTATATAGTTGGGCTTCCTCTTCGCTTTGCTGCCTTTCAATGTCAGTTCGCATCGATATTGCATCATTATCAGTTAAATTGTCAAAATGAATAATGAGCTTCGGGCAGTTTTCGGCTGCCTCTCCGACTTTATCTTCAAGTTTTCAGCTTTAGATTCAGCTTTTCGGGTTCCAGTTTGTATTTTTTCTCTGATTTTTTTTTTATTATTTTATTTTACGAAGCTTCGAAGCTTGGTGACGCTGCAAATGACAAACAAAACCTGACAAAAATCACAAAAAATTGGCTACAAAATGCCAACAAAAGACTCTGCCAAAGCAACAGACACACAAAAATTATTGAACGGCTCTCAAAAAAAGAAGAAAAAAGGAAAAATAAAATCATAAAAAAAAGAAAGAAAAACAACAATTTTATACTCGTAATCAATTTGGCTGTGTATATATATCTTTTTTTTTTTGGAGTTTATGGCTGTGTTTTCACTGTTTTTACTGTTGTAATAAGCCAAGTAATTGACAGAATTTTAACTTGTTATATAAGTTAGTTGTGGTGGCAATAATAAGGTAATACAATATGATGAAAGATACCATAATGAGGAGGGAAATTATAAAGAAAAGAAAGCCGAATGTCAGATGGGTTAAAAGAGGAAAGAAAAATCAATTTTATAGTGGAAAAAAGATAGTTTTTTAGCTTAAAAACTAAAGTTCTGAGGGCGGAAAACTTGAATTTAACTTTGATAAAATCTAACTATTGCCCTCCCTAAACCTTGAACTATTTAACTTGATCTAAAAAAACCCTAAAAGACCTTCCAGGAAACCCCATAAATTAGCCATAAAAAACCTTTGAAAGAAGTGCAAAAAATTTATAGGTGCAGTTAATTAAACGACAAGCTCTCTGCCAAGGCGAATATCAAAATATTAAACCAACAAAAAAAGTGAAATAAAAAGCTCAAACAGCAAATTGCAATTAATTGAGCTTGGATATTGGGATATATATATACATATAGATGTTTGTATTTGAAGAAACAAGCCAAGTTGGCGACCATTTTGAAAGCGAAAACGAAACTGAAACATAAAAACAGACGAAATGCGGCAGCTGCAAAGTGAAGTGAAGTCTTTTTTTTTTTTATTCTTTTATTTTTTATTCAATTTATAAATTCATGACCAAAATGACTAACTCATTAATTTTTGATAGAGCCAGAAAGGGAGGGATATATATATATATAGATATATATAAAGTCGGGGTGTATTTGGGACAAAAGGAAATATATAGAGATAGATAGGGAGTGGGCCGATGGAAAAGTCTCGATCTCGAATGTTTTTGGTTATTCGAGTTTTTCAGTTTTTCGAGGGTGAGCGACAGAGAGAGAGAGAGAGCTGACAAAGCAAACAATGCGGCGGCTTAGTGCACACGCACACAGACACACACACACACACAGCGATATAGTATATATATAACATTATGTACTGTGGAAAAAAAAAGGGAGTCGAGTTTTTGGGGCGGCTGCTGCACGGGGGTTGGTTCCTTTTGCCAGTCCTTTTTATTCTTTTAGGGGTTGGCCGTTGAATTTTTCGGGGGTTGCTATCACACACACACACACACACACATAGAGACACGCACAGTAGCAATGTCACAGTGAAAGCCATCCAGCAAAATAACGGTTACTGCCGAAAAATATTACTGGGAAAAGTCACAACAAGCATGGCGTATACTTAATCTGGCCATGGCTCTTCAATAAGCAACTTTCAGCACATTCGGTTAGGCATTAACTTTTCTTCATGAACTTTGTAATTTATAAATTTTATTCTTTCTTTTCTACCCTTTATGCGATCTATGCTATCCAGGTGTGAACACACGTAAACAGCGTCGCGAACGCACCACATTCACACGCGCCCAATTGGACGTTTTGGAGGCCCTGTTTGGCAAGACCCGTTACCCGGACATCTTCATGCGCGAAGAAGTGGCCCTCAAGATCAATCTGCCCGAGTCTAGAGTACAGGTAAGCTAAGTTCTAGCATAACTTGGTTATCTAGGCTGATATTGTTATGAAACTGGATAGGAAGTAAGAAGGTTATGTAAGGTGGTGGTATTTTGTGGGGTTTGGAGGGGAATTTATAGGGGGAATTTCTTGATAAAGGCATAAATTTTCTTATTTCTAGCAAGTTTAAGGCAGCCAATTTGCTGGAAAGTCTTTATATAAAGGTAAAAATGTATCTTAAAACAATCTTCAGCCTATTCTGCTTGTTAAGGATATGAAATTTGGTATCCCGAAAGTGTTGTAGAAAGTTTTTAGGAAAATCTATCACCTATAAAAATCAAAATTTTCCATGATTCGTTAGATTTTTCTTCTTAAAATCACTAACCCCCCAAAAAGTACGTTAATTCAAAGCCATATCCGATTTCCCTTTAATTCGAACTCCGCCCTGAAAAGCAAATACAAACACTTGCTGACCTGCTAACTGGTTTTTCGACTTTTAAAGGCTCAGTGCCTTGGGCACACGCCCATTACCCGCACATGTGAGCTTTTTAACCCACTAAAACCCAGCACAGATGTATATACACTTGTATAGTTGGTTTAATTAGGCGAAATGCCCTCGAAAAGTGCCGAGGCCGAAGGAAATCCATAAAACAAACAAATTACAACAGCTACGAACAGATTGTCGAGTTGAGGATATATAGGGATGGGATGTGGGAGGGGGGATGGACTCATAGATGATACCAGGGGATACACATATGGAGCGCACAGATTTGATGACTTTCAATGCAAATAGAGCCATTCCATTTTGCAGAAGTATATTCCGTTGTTGTTCCCCCTTTTCGAGGCAAGCGGCGTATAAATTCTCGTATTTACGGAAAGTATTTGCGGGGTATGACAAGTCACCCCTCCAGGATATTGGATAGCTGAAATAAAAGCGTAACTGAAGTTTGCTCAAGGCATTAGTCGGGCATAATTTGCGCTAATTTCTACCCATCATCAGCAGCAGCAGCAGCGGCAGCCAACAGATGAGCTCACGATGACAGCAAATTGTACAACTCAATTTTTTGGGCTGAATAGGGCTGAGATCTCAATCTCTGCCTGTTTATTTAGGTGTCCATGATCGGGCCTGGATCTGGGTCTGGGTCTGGGCCTGGGGCCTAAACAAACAAATTCCCTTAGCGCCGTTGGCCGTGTCAAAAACTGGCAAATGGCCCAAAAACGATCGCAGTTTCCGGTTAGATGGAAAAACTGTCATCTCCTTTTGGTAATTTCTTGGGCAAACACAGCCGCAACATCGATCGGTGTTTCCTTTGGGGGAAACTGCAATGAAAACATACACAGTCGAGGCACAAAAACAAACATTATTGGCAACTACATTGATCTATCGATTTGTTTGCTTTTACCTCTGCCTTTGCTTGCCCTCGCTTTGTTTGCCAATGCCTTTGTCCATGTAGTAGTAGTTTAAGGACGTGACATTGCAGGGTCAAAAGCAGCAGTGGCCAAAGAATCAGGTAACTAAATTAATGAGAGTGATTAGGGAAAGTAATGTTGGGTAAAGTTAGGTTAAGAAGAAGTAGATAGAAGCTGACAGATCCAGACTGAGGATATTAGAAAGTTAACAAGATAAAAAACCAATTGAACTCCAAGAGATACTAAGTAGTTAGTAACTAACAGGCTTTAAAATGCCGTCTGTATTGTGAAAGAGAGAAAAAAAGCCGTTAAGAACAAGACGACTTTAAAGACCTCGCTGGTCGGAAAAAAGCAACAGCGATTAAGGAAGCCCCTGCAATGGTCGGCTTGGAATGAAAAACGACACGTTCTATGTCCAAGGAGGAGGGGGAGGAGAAGGTATGAATGGTAACGAACGGAAAGAAAGAACACAGCTCTCTGTTGCAAGGACACCTTGCACATGTCCCATGAATCGACTTTCTTTCTTTTTTGTATTCTTCTTTCTTTTTTTTTTTTGACCAAAGTTACGTTTTTTACACAATTGATTCCAAGTAATGCACACCGGAGAAAAGCAGGGAGAAAGATATACAGACAGAGAGAGGAAGTAAAGGGGGGAGGGAGGGTGTAGAGCTGGGAATTGACATTTGTATAGATTTTCCATTTTCATGTTTGTCTCTTCTTCTTGGATAGTTTCCAGCGTTGTTGTCGCTCTGGCTTGGCTGCTTTTCGAAAATGTTTTCACAGACAGACAAGTACAGTGGTCATAATCAAAGGTTTAGCAAATGAAAAGCTTAATAAGAACTAAATTTATAGGTAAACTAAGTTTTCTATATGAAAATCAATTAAATTTGCTTTCAAATCTCTAGTTTTGAGCCACTGTACCTGCCGTGTCTTTGGAGTGACGCAACATGTCAATGCATTCGGTCTTATAAAAACACACACACACGCACACCCATCCACCCACACTTTGGCCACATATCAGATTACAGGCAGGAAAACTAGGAAAAACCTTACAAAACCCCAAACGAATGGAAGGAAATGGTGAAAAAGCGGGGAAAAGAGTAGCAAACACGATTCGTTTGCATGTTTGTTACAAGGCGTCTGGCTTTTGGTTTTCGTTTTGGCTTTTGGTTTGGGCAGAAGGAGGAGGAGATTGGGGGTCTCTCTCTCTCTCTCTCTCTCTCTGAAAACTGGGGCTGCCGTGTTTCCGACTGCAAAGGAAGCCAAGCAACTCAATTAGCCAGCCCGAGCCAAAAACATAGACGACTGCCGACGGGTCTGGGGAAAAAGAGTTCATTTTTCAGCTGGATAGTTTTCAGTTTGCACGAAAGACATAGCTTAAGGAATACTCTTAAAGAATATATAATAATAATAACTAAAATATAATCTTGTTATAGTAATAAGATGTTAAACTATGGACCATATTAATAGTTCACTCCAGAATAGACCACCTCGAAAGGATCAACCATTGAGGCTGCGCAGCAGGGTCCCCATTGAAAGGTCACCGGGTTGTCAGTGGAAGAGAATATCATTTCACATAAATAATCATTACCTCCAAAAAGCGTGTGAAAGAGATAGAGAGAGATTGTGATAGAGTGAGAAATCCGAATCGGAATCAGAATCAGAATCCCTGCAACGAAATCGGAGTCATAATCAGATGGAAGGAACGGGGGCTTAGGCCTGGTAAATATTAATTGAATGATAGGCATCTTTATGGCCCAGTAGCGAGTTCCACACAATCCTCCTCTCCATCCAGGATGATACCCGGGGTTGGTTCATGCCACGATGCCTCGATGCCAACGATGCCAAAGTGAGAGGGCGTTGATTGCAACCAATACAAATAACGTAATAATTTTACGCAGCTTATCTGCACCAGAACAGAGCAAACATTTACGCCCAAAATGTTTTCATTCGCCGTTCGAGGGTGTGCGGATCGGAGGGGGTTTCTTTCTTTTGTTTTTTTTTTGCTTTTCTCTCTTTGGTCCTCGGTGGTCTCGGATGGCTGCCATCGCTGGCAGTCATAAATCACGGGGGAAACTGGGAAACCAGCAGCAGGAGCAGGAGCAGGAGCATTAGCAGGAGTAGCAGGAACAGCGGTAGCAACAGCAGTAGCGGCAGCGGCAATATTCCAATCCCAATCCCAATTTTGATTCCAGTCAGCGAGGCAACCCTAATAATCAGTCGTAGAGATCCTGTGCACTGAAAGAAACTTTTGGAGTTTGAAATGACATTTTTAGGAGGAGAATTAATGATCTTTTAGTGTTTAGTTCTTGAAAAGTTAGAGATATAAAACTTACTTTGAAAAACTTTATAAAGAGTTGTAATTTTTGAGAACTAACAACTTTTTAGTGCTTTTTGCAAAGAAAAATCTTTAAGTTCTTCTACATTTTAGTCAGAAAGCGTATTATATATGAAGTTTTGGTGATAATATGGATGAGTTACATGAAATATGATATGATTTGATATAAGATCAGTTCATTTTTGATACATTATCATAGGCCCTGCCATAACAGAAGATACGAATGGCTTAAAATAGCTATTTCTATACAATTTTTGTTCTTTATTTTCAAAAATATAAGCCAAAGTTCTACTTCTACTTCATAGATACATCACATTAACCTAATTAAGTCATTAAAGGTACTCAAAACTTTAAAGTTTTTGCTATTATAAAAGTTACTAATCAGATATCTGACACTTCTGCTTACCAATATAGCCTCCATATCATATCACTAATCACTATCAGATCTTAGTCTTATGTACACTATCCTTTTTTTTGGCATGGTGTAGCATGAGCTACCCCTTCCCTTAGCTGCCTTCCTCCCTAGCCCTTTGTCACCTCAGAGATTCGAGATACTTTCGCCTCGTTTTCAGCTGTTCTTCGTCGGGGGTTGGAAAGCAGTGCTAGAAAGAGACAGCAGCAGCAATGAGTGCGATAGAGAGGGCTAGAGGCGCACCTAAACTTAGCCAACTCTTTTTTTCTTTTTTTTTTTTCTGTTCTATACGTTTTCCATTTTCCCTTTTTTCTTTTGTTGCAAAAGGATTTGTCTGCTGCTGCTGCTGCTGCTGCGAAAAATGAGAGGGGAGCGCAGGGAAAACTTTGCCGCTTGCCACACAGCTGTTTTATAAAATTAATTTTCCCATTGCGGATTAACAATTTCCACTCTTTTTCCACGCTTCGTACCCATTCAGTGCGAAAGAGACCAAACGATTGCCTACTATATATAGGGGGGGGAAGGGGAGCTTAGAGGGAGATGGGAGACGAGTGGCGAGATTTATGCATAATTTTCAATTTGTTAATGCAATGCTGGAAATTATGAGCGTGTGTGTGAGTGTGGAGTGTGTGGGTTTAGCTGAAGGCTGAAGTTAAAAGTCAGCCAGGAATCAAGTAAATAAAAAAGATATAGGGAAAACAGCATTAGTTTGCTGGAGTTATTAATTGGTAATCTCGAAAGTAAATAGATTTTATGATGTTTTTGATAGTGCAGTACAGTTATTGGGAAGTTATTTAAGCAGAATTTAAAGTAAAGTCCCTGAAAAGTGTAAACTAACCATAAAACTATGTCCTACGACCTTTCCCTAAACTATCTCTTAACTTTAACCAAGAAAATACTCATTTCCTTCAATCAAAATAGCCAACTTTTTAAAGAACAAAACCATTTCCTTAAAAAACCTTCAAGTTTACTTAAGAAAATTCGGGAAATTGAAGTTTGAAGAGCCGGAATTTCCCACAGCAGCCTCAACAATTTGCCTCGAGTGTGTTTGCCTTAGTCAAGTGTGTGTCTCACTTTACTGGGTGTTTGCGTTTGTTTGTTTATTTGTCAGGCGTGGGCGTGAAAGTGGGCGTGTGCCAATGGCCAGCGGCTGCAATTTTCCCACATCAATTAGTTTGCCCGGCGAGCAATGAATAAATTATACCAAACAGAGGGGGGATGGAAATATATACATATATATATAGGAAGAAGGGATCTCTGGACCCACAACAAGTGCAAAAAGTCACGCGCTGTGTGTGCTGGCAAATAGAGAGAGAGGAAAAGTTACATCAACAGCCGGCGGCGGCCAAAAAATTGACTCGATTATATTGTCACACGGAATCACTCCTCCTTCCTCCTCCCCCCCATCCATCCATCCATGCGGCAACCGAGAACCACCCATAAACCACCCACTTGTCATGCGTCCGTCCCCTTTGGCGGAAAACGCATCCCTTCTGGACCGAGCGGAGAACTTGAGAATTTGAGAAGTGGAGGAGGACCGGAGACAGGAGGACAACAATAAACAGCCCATAAAGCGGCACACTCGAGCGCAAGGAATTCACTTAGCCTTGTTTGTTATGCTTAAGGGGCTGCAAACAATCCGCTAAGTGCCAGTTCAGCTATATCAGCTAGTTTATAGCCAGAATGGGGAGTAATAAGAAGGAAGGTTAACTTTGAGTATTATTTGAGCTATTTGAGGGAGTAAAGAGGCTTAAAAGTAGGTTTGTAAATAGGAAAATGGATAAAAATTAAAAAAATTGAAAAAATGTTAATAAGAAAAAGATTTTTTCAAATTTTTACGATAATCTGGCAACTCTTGTTCCATAAAAATTAGAACTTCTTGAACTTTCTTTATCAGAATTCTCAAAAACAACTAGCTAAAAACCTAAAATCTTTATTTTTTTAATAAACTTTCAATACCCCAACACTCTGGCAACGCTGTTCGGCACAAATCAAAGCCCAAGCAGTGCTGGCCAAGCAGTCGTCGAAAGGCAAAGGCAAAAGCAGAAGGAAAAGCATGGAAAAGCAGGCTGGCTGGCTGACTGCCTGCCTGGCTGGCAAATGTTATTTCAGTGATTTGTTGTTTGGGGTTGGTGTTGCTTGCTAATGGCTTGTGCTTTGGTAAACAGCTGAATTTATTACCGCTCAGCCCAACCACCCACCCAACCACTGACTCCATCCTCCCCCCCTAATTTCCGAAGTTAACACTTGCCACGCGGCTGCGGCCACTCGAGCATTTCATTGCCGTTTTGATGGGGACGTTGGATGAGGACGATGGCAAGGGGAATCCAGCAAGAAAAAAAAGAAAAAAAGAGCATTAAACAAGGCGTATCAAATTTCATTATTTGTCAGCACAAGACTGTTGCCACACCCCCTTAAAACTAGGGGGGGGAGAAAAAAACTCCAAATTCAATTTGAATTTTCAATTCGATTTTACATTCGTAAATCCCCTTCTGGGCTTTGACTTTGCCCTGCTCTGATTTCCCATTTAATTTTCTTTGATTCCGTTTAATGAACTGCCAGCAAATTTCATAATATTATTGACTAGAGAAGAGAACGCACTCTAAGCTTGGGAATTTTTGCAAATTTTAGCAGAAATTTAGACAACATTTGGCGAATGTTTAAAAAAAAAACACACAACTTGATTTCCGTCCTTCTAATGAACTTCAAAGGAACTTTCAGGGTGGGTGGGTTTGGTGTTTCCAACTTCAAAGCATTTTCTCTTCTATTTCTGATTTATCTTTTTTTTTTTATATTTCTTTTTTGATTTTGTAAATTGTTGTCTCGTTTGCGGTTTTACCTTGTTTTCGATTTTAAGGCTTTTTCTTTTTTTGGTAAGGGGGGAGCCTTTGTAGGCACATGATTTGCTTGACTAGCCACGAAATTGTAATATTGAAATTAAGGCCATGGTCGATTGAGTTTGTTGAGTTTTGAGATGGTTTTGAAGAAGGGAAATTTGTGGCACAGAAAGTGGAAAGTTCTTCAGTCTTAGGAGAATCAGAAAGGAACTTGAAAATTCCTTAAAAATCTATCAATAATCCTTACTAATTTCCTTTTTGATTTTTCTTATATTTTCCTTTAGGTCTGGTTCAAGAATCGTCGCGCCAAGTGCCGCCAGCAGTTGCAGCAGCAACAGCAATCCAACAGTTTGAGCAGCTCGAAGAATGCCAGCGGTGGAAGCGGTGGCAGTTGCAGCAGTTCATCGGCCAATAGCCGCAGCAACAATAGCAACAACAACAGCAGTAGCAACAACAACTCACAGAGCAGCAACAACAAGAGCAGCCAAAAGCAGGGTAACTCACAGTCGAGCCAACAAGGTGGCGGCGGTGGAAATTCGAATGGCAACAACAGCAACAATTCAGCGGCAGCGGCGGCCAGTGCAGCAGCAGCGGTGGCAGCGGCCCAATCGATCAAGACGCACCACAGTTCCTTTTTGAGTGCCGCTGCGGCGGCAGCCTCGGGCGGTACAAATCAATCGGCCAACAGTAACAACAACAATAACCAAGGTGGCGGTAATTCAACGCCCAACAGCAGCAGCAGCGGCGGCGGCGGTGGAAGCCAAGCGGGCGGACATTTGTCGGCAGCGGCAGCAGCGGCCGCCTTGAATGTAACGGCCGCCCATCAGAACTCCTCGCCACTATTGCCCACACCGGCCACGTCGGTCAGTCCGGTTAGTATCGTTTGCAAAAAGGAGCACTTGTCCGGCGGCTATGGATCGAGTGTAGGTGGTGGCGGCGGCGGCGGCGGCGGTGGTGGCGGTGGCTCCACCGGTGGTCTCAATTTGGGCGTTGGCGTTGGCGCTGGTCTTGGCGTTGGTGTAGGCGTGTCACAGGATCTATTGCGTTCGCCATATGATCAGCTAAAAGATGCCGGCGGAGATATCGGAGCTGGAGTACATCATCATCATAGCATCTATGGATCGGCGGCCGGTAGCAATCCACGTCTCTTGCAACCGGGTGGCAATATCACACCGATGGATAGCAGCAGCAGCATTACCACACCATCGCCGCCCATCACACCAATGTCGCCACAATCGGCAGCTGCAGCGGCACATGCCGCCCAATCGGCCCAGTCCGCCCATCATTCAGCAGCCCATTCAGCGGCCTATATGTCCAATCATGATTCGTACAATTTCTGGCATAATCAATATCAACAATATCCCAATAACTATGCCCAGGCGCCAAGCTATTATTCACAAATGGAATACTTTAGCAATCAGAATCAGGTCAACTATAATATGGGACATTCGGGGTATACGGCCTCGAACTTTGGCCTATCGCCATCGCCATCGTTTACGGGCACCGTGTCGGCGCAGGCATTCTCACAGAATAGCTTGGATTACATGTCGCCGCAGGATAAGTATGCGAATATGGTGTAGAACCTACTCTTCCAATACTGCAGCGGTGGCAACAACAACAACAACAACAACAGCAATTCGGGGGGCAGTGGAAGTGGTTCAGGTTCGGGTTCCGGATCTGGTAGCAATAGTTCACCACAACTGGAACATGGCCATCATCAGCAGCAGCAACAGCAACAGCAGCAGCAGCTCCAGAATCTTCAACAGAATCATCACCATCAACATCATCAGCATCATCATCATCATGACCATCATAGCCATGAGGAGGAGAATCAACAGGAACTGCCGCATCAACAGGATCATCAGCACCTGGATCACACTTTTGGTTAAACTTTTGGGTGATACAGACATATGGTTATCTGCCATATTGATACATATCCACACACCCTAAAAAAGATAGAACAACATTGCCCCCGATAAAGAACTCTGCTGCTTTCTCAGAACTTACTCAAAGATATTACGGCCTCTGGGTTTAAGTTCCTTTACGATCATATTTGCTGGCTTATAGATATGGCTAGGAACATTTTTAAGGTTTCTGTAGATAGTTTTAAAAATGCGATTCTTGTGAATTCTTAAAGATTCTTCTTGACTCATATAAAAGCAACTTGTTTTTATAGCAAAAGTTGGGTTTTCCTTACTTTATTTTCCCTTTTTTTTTATGTTACCATTTTGGACTTAAAAATATTTCAAAAATACAACAAATATAGCAAGAAAGTCAAGAGTTTTGAAAGGTTTTTATAGATTCAAGAAGAATCAAGCAAATTTAAGAACTTGAAACCAAGAAAATCGAAACAACTTTCGGAAAATCAAAACCTTCTTTCAATGCTTGGAAAAACCCCAACAAATATGATCGAAAAAGGAAAAGCTCAGAGGGACAAGTTCTATATACTTTTCACTTTCACTTTCTTTCTTTTTTTTTTTTTTTAGTTAACGAGAATTTTTTTTTTAATATATAAAAAAATATATATATAAATATTATACATAGTAAACCCCCTCTAAACTAGAAAGCGTGTGTAAAAAGCGGAGAAACGTGAATAAAAAAAAAACAAAACAAAAAAGAAGAAAAACAAAAAGCGAGTTACAAGTTTATATACAGCCCAAGACATAAACGTAAATCTATAACTAAACATAGGTATTATAGACCTAGCTTAAGCCGCCAGGATCAACGAAGAAAATGAGTGATAAAACAAGGAAAAACCCCATGAGAAAAAAAAACATTTGTTAGAAAATCCAAATGAGGAAATGAGAGAGATGCAGGCACGAAAAGGTTATGAAGACGAGGGCGTTATTTGTAAGAGAAAAGCAAGGAGAGAGGAGAAAGTTTTTAAATGCAATACGTAGACCATTCCATGGTACAGCCAGGGGCGGGTTTTGGTGATCTTTTTGGGAAGGATCGCCAGATAAAGGGAGAAAAAAACCAGAGCTGGACCATCACCAGCCAGCTCAGCATATCATAAAGCTAACAGAAAAAACAAAAAAAACAAAAAACTTAATTCCAATTTCAAGTTCTTTAAACCAAACTAAAAACATAACATTACTAACTAAAAAAAAGTGAGAAAACCCAAAAAAAAAAAACAAGTTTAAAGTTCAAATCATCATTTTGTCGTCTTTATATAACAAAAACAAAAAGCAAAAAAGTAAAAAAGTAAAAAAGGTAAAAAACAAAAAGAAAGAAAAGCGAAAAAACAAGAATATTTATACATAACATATAGAAGATATATAGAGAATACAAACCCAAATCAGCTAAAACGAATTAACATTTCAGACTTTAAAAGCATCAAATAAAGTAAAGGTAAAAGTAAAAGGTAAAAATTAAAGCAAGGAAAAGCCCAGCTAAGGGCAAGGCAAAAGTATTTAGCAATTAAGCGACTCGAAATGATATATATTAAAAGTAAAAATAAAAACAAATGATAAAGCTCTAAACACGACGATTGATTGATTGATTGATTGATTGATATATATATATATATATATTATATATAGGAAATTTTATTGCAAATAAAAACAAAAACAAAAAACAAAACAAGCCACAATCCAAAAGCGAAACAAAAAGCGACAGCAAGAAAATATTTATAAAATAATTTAAAATAATTTTTAATAAAAAAACGTGTACAAAAACCTTAAAAAAATCACATTCTTGGTAAATATATATATATAAAAATCTATATATATATATATATAATGATATATATATATGTGTGTGTAAATGTTCTTCATAAAGTATGCTAAAAGATTTATAAATATATATATATATATATATATAAATAAATAACGAAAAACTTTTGTAATATTAAAAGAAACAAAAACAACAACAACAACAACACACAGACAGGCAAAAACAAAAACAAAAACACAAAAAACAAAAGTTAGTTCAATGAAGTTTTTCTGAAATTTTTTGTTTAGTTTTAATTTCAATTTAATTGTAATTTAAGCTTAACAATTTGTTTAAAAAACACAATCACACACACACTTTAACACACACACACACTCTAACACACAACGACACTCATAAAGAAAAGCATGTAAGGAAAAATCGAAGAATATTTAGCATTTAATTCACTTAAACTAAGAACATTTTTTTTCCGCGGGATAAATTTTAAGCTAAAAAAAAAAAGATGATGAAGGCGAAAGATAAACAAAATTAGTTATTAATATTTAAGAGCGGATCTATATACAGCATATATATGATTATATATATATATGATCCCCATATATATATATATATATATATACATGCAAATATATATAATATATATATATATATTATATATTATGTATAATTATATGCTAACGTTTAAGCAAACTGGTTAATTCTTTTTTTTTTTTTAATTATAAAACCGAAAGAAAAACTAAAATAATTGTAAAAAGTTCACAAAAATATGATCAGATGAATAATATATATATAAAGAAAACATGAGAACGTCTTTTTATTTTTCAATTTTCTATGGAAATCTTGCTTCTTTATGGGAAGATTTTAAAGGAAAATTAACAGAAGATATATGTTTTTTGGGGCATATATATATACAGAGGGGGAAGGGGAAGTAAAAATATGAAAAATATGACAAGTTTTTAGTGCAATTTTGTTAAAAAATACGCTAAGTTACTTGGAAACTTCAAACTTAAACTTTAAAAGTTGTTAAAGTTTCTTCAAGCGAAGTTTTCTTATATGAAAAAGAATTTTCTTTTATTATTTCTCCTTTTAATATATGTTTTTCTTTTTTATTTTATACTTTAATCAATGCTTTAGTTTACCTAATGATCCTTAGAACTTCTCTCTCCTCTTTCTCCCAAACAACTTCTCCTTAATAAACTTCTTTATAAACTCCTCGCCTGAGTCACCTTTCAAGCTCCTAACTCCATCGATACACACCTGAGTTTCTAGCAGGCTAAAATACCTTTCTACCATCGCTTATCCCTGGAATTTGGCTGGGCAAAAAAAAAACTCGATCCTCTAACCGTTGGCTACCAGAACATTCCAAAGCCAAAATCACTTCTGATTTCCCAGTGGCGGTGGCTTTTGCTGTTTGTTTGCCTTTTGCGGCATTTATTGGCAGCCGTGGGGCACGCGTCTCTTGATCCCAAATAAAAAACGAAAACGAAAACGAAAAGAAAAAAAAACTAAAAGCCCTTCGACCGTCAGCGCCTTGACAACAATTGAGGCGACTCCAAACTTAAGACTTCCAGTCGCAGTGCCATTTCCCATTCCCATTCCCAAACCTAAACCCAAACCCATGCCCATTCCCATTCTCAATCCAATTCCCATTTGCAGTCCGAGTCCAAAGCGAATTGGACGAAACAGGGCGAGCCCGGAGTCAGCCATCATCATCATAAACCATTAATTCAGATCATAAAACTTGCCACGCCCCAAATACACCCATGGAATACACTCAACGAAATGGGGATTATGAAGGGTATTCTCAATGGGTTCAGCGAACTCAAAGAAAAGACTTTTCCGTCGGCATGAAAAGTTAAAGTTAAGTTAATAACTTAAAAACTAGTGTTTTTGTGTTTCTAAATTAAGAGTTTAGATTTTAAATTTTAATATTTTAACTATAAATTTTACTATTTACTTTGTAAAGAAAAGTTTGGCAAAGTTTTGGGTTTCTGGAAGGTTTAAAATTGTTAAAAATTCAAATTTGATTAATATTTTTGATATTTTTGCACTTATTTAAGGGTAGAGAAATCTTAAAAAATTATATTTAATATATATTTCATTAAGAATATTAAATAGTTCATGGATTTCTAGCCATCTCAACATGTTACTCCTTCATTGCCAAGAACTTTTCTCGCTTTTCCCACTTTATTAAGCCATAAACTTAGCTAAAGTGGCCTGGCTCTTAGATTCCTCACCATAACTACCTAGTTATTCCTTTTTTTATTTATATATATATATTTTTGAAGCATTTTAACGAGCTCACTTCAAAGTTAATCTACGTCGACCGCTGTCGTTTGATATTTGCGATTAATTATGCTAATGAAAATGCTTGGGAAATTCATTTGCCATTTGCGGCTAATTGTCGCACCAGCTGGCGGCACGTGCTGCGGCTCAATCAGATTGTTAGTAGATTGCTGAAGTCCAAAAGAGATATATATATATATGGGGAGTTATCCTATCTGGTCCGATCTCCATCGATTCTCAAACATCTCGAATGGCGAATGGTTTTCTCTTTCTTTCTTTTTTTTTGCTATCTGACTAGACACGCGACCCATTTCCATTTCTTTTTTTGTTGTTGTGTTTTTCCATTTCCATTTCTATTTTCATGGAAGAGAAATAGTAGAAGAGAAGACCAGAACCCCGAGGAAAAGCAATCCATCTCCATCGGCAGTCGTCGTCATCAATGGGCGCGTGTTGCTTATAGAATTACCAACTAATTCGGTATTTATGAGGCTTCGTCGAGTGCATTTTGCTGGTCTAGGAATCGCTCTTTGGTTGGGTTTCGTTTTTCGCAGGTTGTTTGCTTGTGGGTTTTTCCTATGGGTTTTCGTTTTTTTTTTTTTTTTTTTGTTCTCTGATGGGGGGACGGTGGCACGCCCGAGGAAGCCAGCAAATTGAGATGCTTCACCCCCTGCTACCCCCTAACCAGGGCAGGAAATTGTTTTTAATCTTCCGCGCGCTGCGCCTTTTA